GAGGGGTGCGCCCCCCCGGCCCGGATGCAGTGTCCCCGCGGGGCAGGAGGGGTGCGCCCCCCGCCCCGGCAGGCTGCACTGACAGGAGCAGTGCTCCCCCGCCCCGGCGCCAATACGCCTCGCTGGCCCCAGGCTAGGCTGGTACTTTTAATTAAAAATTTTCCCAGCACCTGGACCCATGATACCTAAAAGGCCTCTACCAAGGGCCTTTTTTTTCCTTTTTCCTGTTATCCCAATTTTATAATACCAACTATTAAATCACTGTCAGCCATTACTTCACCGACTACAGCCTTCACTTCACCTGGGAGAAGAGGAGAATGCGAAATTCAGGTTTTTGTCATTCTCCCTCCCTCACAGTGAACCCGGCCAGCACGGAGTTATGGGCTGACTTAGCACTTCATTTCAGTTATATGGGACTTTCTTTTGCAGAATGCTGCCATAGCTACTGCCAGCCACAAACATCTCAATACATACACGTACATAGATACACACAGGCATACATAGGTATTTGTATCAACTCACATCTCTGCCTCCAGTAAAAAGAATTTCAAGTAGAAATTAACATTTGTGCTATTAACTAGGAGGAAACAAAACTATGCTTAACCCTAAAGAGAAATGCATGGCACTAGGATGTTTGTACAGGACTTTGTAAAGAAAACAGGTAACCTTCTCCTCTGGGTTTTCCTGCTCAGGTTGATTCAGCAGCCAGATGGCATATAAAGGTACAACAGAGGTTAAAGTGCAGAAGTTTCAAATGAACATTCTCTAATAAAATCAACATATAAAAGGAATTAAAAAACACCAAAGCATCTTTTGCCCTTTCCTCTCTCACTAACAACGAGGACAAAAGCAGCCCAGCTGGAACACCCAACAGCACTGACAGGGACTTTAGCTGTGGTTCCCAAGCTCCTATCCCTTAGAATTATTATCTCTTAGTGTGGCTGATGTTTTACTGGGAGAAGAGGGGAAAGGCTGCCTCACTGACAGGAAATCTGCTGACCCTGGGAGAATATGCAAACTCCTTTCTCCCAGCTTGCTGCAGCTGCTCTCTGCCCAGCCAGACACACTTCCACCTGCAGGCTTTTCTGACTTTGAGCTCATCTCCTAACATCTCTGGAGGATCTTGGCTCTCTTAGTTCACCCAGTTAATGCTACTTCCTTTCTATTGCAGTGCCTTTGTACACTGTTCTCTGCTGTGTAACATTTCTCAACACAAATCTAAATATTTCTCACTGCTAGTTTTAATGATACCAAGATTTACACAACTCTTGCAAGATGTCAAGCAAAACTGTCATTTTTTTTGTGTCTCGCCCATAATTCCACTGTAGAACCATCTGAAGTGGCAGCCATCGTGCCTGCATGCCACTAGAAGAGGAGAGGTGTTATCAGAACAACTCTGGAAGGACACCCCCTCTCCCCTGCACACCAACACAGAGACATACTCAAGAGTTAGACCTAACTACCATAAATTACCCCTCAGAACAGGTCTGGAGAACGGACTAAATGGTTTCAACTACGTACCAGCAGCCAAGAGGAAGGGGACAGCTCTGTAAGGAGGTATTACGACTGCAAATTTATATGCTGTGGACGGATTTATTTTCTCTACTTAACATTTACTGTTTTATACATTCCTTAACTGGAAACGGACCGATAGGCTTCACTGGAACTACTGCTGCGCTGCTGCTTTACAACTTTTTCTGGCAACCTCATCAAATGACTCAGAGCAGAGGAAAAAAGGAAATGGATAAAACGCAATTTTTTAAAAGTGCAGAGCTTTAGAAATTTCTGTGTCTTAATGTTGGTTTTACTCTCATGGATCCTGTAACATCAGGCTAGCCACAGAACAGACAGAGCTCTGCTTCTTCAGACTCCTTTACAAGACAGTAATAATACCTTATCTGTCTCAGGGAGTTTTCCGAGGATCATTTTGCTGAAGTATGTGAAGCACTTTGAAAGTGAGGAGCATTACCACTATACTAAGCTACATTTTATTGCCTTTTTTTACTCAATCACCAAGTGGGTCACCTGTCCCTACTCTCATCATTTGTTCTTGAGTAAGGTAGATCAAAGTTCTCTCTTGTGTCTCAGGAAGCCAAGTATCCCCTCCTTCAAAAATGTGAGGGTTGGTAATGTGTTTTCTCAATCTCTTCAGATTTAAAAATTGTTCTTAAAGTGATAATTGAACATTTCTGAGTGATTTTCCACTGTAAAGGATCTGCACATGCTTTACAACTCAATACAAATATGCATGTGAAGCCACACTGCCCAGTCTGAAACACTCCGGTGCAATCAGTTCATTTACCAGCCACAATTCACAGGCTATGGTGAGAAAGGCTGAATCCAACTGAAACTGAAGCTACAGGGAGAATTTCACAAGTATACCACGAGGCAAACTGGCACTGGCCCAAGAATGCGAGTTGTTGGTATGAAACAAATATCTTTACAGTGCTGGCTTTATTGTTTAATTATATTTATTGCATACAGAAATCATTCTTTTTAGAACTCTGAAGGCTAGACATTTGTTTAGATTCTTGCCCATCTTGCTGTTTTGGGCAGTCACCATCCCTGAGCTCAAGTGAGTACCACAAGTCAGAAGAGCAACATGGCGCTGCCTCTACAGCTGTGTCAACTGGGACACTCACCCCCATGAGTTCTCTCTCCCCCCTTGGAAACACCACAAGTTCCAGAACTACCCACAACCAGGGGAGGAAATGGGTCCCCACCTTGTGGCTTGCTTGAATCTCTGGGCAGGCCAGTCAAACGATCTATTTCTTTCCTACTGCTCAAAAAGCCTAATAGTAAATGATCAGATACTCTCCTCAGCAGTTTAAAAGCTGAGCCAACAATACAATAGTTACAGAAAAAATAGTTACAGCCAAAACCAGTCCAACGTTAAGTGTTACCTAAAATGAGAGATTCAAAACAACGACTAGCTTTACCATCCAAGTGAAGGTGTTCACTTCCACTGACTTCACAGGGAAGTGGACATGCTCAGCACCTCAAAAATTCCTGTTGTTACAGGAAATACTTAGCTACTACTGAGGTATCCAACTTACCTCAGAAGTCACTAAACAGGGACTACAAGACAGGTCTCAGCACAGCAGCTTTCAAGCTCCATTTCTTATGTGGTACATCACAGAAATATACGGGTTTTCCTCTACTCAACATTTTAAGTTTTATTTCTATGTATTAATGAACTTATGAGTGAGCATACCTACAAATTAGGAAGTCTTATGGGATGACCTGGCTATTATTAGTAAAATTTTACTAGAAAGTAAGGGCACACTAACATTCAGAAGCACTTTGTAATTAAGTCCCTAGTAACAAACAGGAAACCAAAGAAAATTTATTGTGAATATACATTTTGTCTGTCTACTAAAAAATGACAAGACAGAACATGCAAGAAATTTGTGTGATTAAATTACCTGTATAGAAGCTCCAACTTTTTCATTACAAAGGCTGCACACCAGGGCCCATCTGCTGCTGGGAATGTGAGAAACCTTCGTAATGGGCTCCATTTTTTCAGGGCTTCCGATGCTCACCTAAGAGAAAAAAGGTTAACAAGGAGTGACTATGACACCGTTAACTGAAAAGGGAAACGATTTTATCAAAGACATCAAATTCTTTGTCTGCATATGCAAAGTGAGCACATTCCATGTTCCTCAGTTTATAAGGAACTAACGAAAAATAAAAATTCCTTTTTTAAAAAATCAGTTCCTGCATAAACAAAAGAGTTTGAAGGTAAAGCCCTCCAATTTACAATTATCATACAGGATGAATATTTTGATTATGAGAGCCCAGAAGAATTCTCACTGTCACATCCAAACCTTCCTGACGGACCTTTAATGTTCCGTTTACAAAATAAAATGGCACTTCTTGCACTTGTTCAATGAGCTTTGCCAGCAGCAACATCCCAATTTTGGTTGATAAAGGTAATATAATTACTTCCCTTATAGGCAATGCATCATCCTGCCAGACTTTGTATCTAACTGAAAATCTTCTATATTGTCTTCCTCAAAAGTCCTGTATGAATGCTACACTCAAAACAGCAACACACACTAGGCTGAACAACTTTTTTGACAGATTTCTTCTCTCCCAGAAGCACTGCAGCCCTGAAACTCCAGGGGATTGGCACCTACCTCTGGGATCCACAGGGCACAGCTAACATGGACCCACTTGGTGCCGCTCCGGGTTGGCTTCATGGCACCACCCTTCTTGGGACACAGCAAACACTTGGGCTGAACGCCGAGCGCGCAGGTCCTGCACAGCCAGCTGCCCTCCGGCACCTTCAGGATCCCGTAGCACGCCTGTATCCCCATTCACAGAACAGGGGGAGAACAAAGGGTACAGCATGCACCTCTGGCACTTCTCAGCTGTTCACACGCAGCCTCTCCCAACTCCCAAAATGTCTTTTATGAAATTTTTAATGCTATAGAAACATCAGCTTGTGGAGGATTTCAGGAGGCGTTCATAAGCTGGGCCACCCACACTACCCACTCATTCCCCAGAAAGCTCTTTCAGTGAAAGGAGCAGAAGTCATGAGCAGCTGTTTGAGGAACATGTTCCCCAGCCCAAAGAGGGGGGACTCCAACAGCGAGCCCCACCAGCAGTGAGTGAGGGTGAAGTTCAGCATTGCAAAGACTACACGTAACAGGAACCAGACTGTACCTAATTCAAAAGCCAAGAAACACAAATTCAAGAGTTTTGCTGTGCAGTACTCCACATTATTCCAAAGCATTGGGGTTTGCTTCTTATTCAGAGGGAAAAGTGCACAGCAGTAACTAAGATTACTTTTTTTCAGAACATTGCATCGTTATGGAGACCTCTATCCAAATTACTGCCAGTTTTGACCCTCTTAAGTTTCAGATTCGATGTGATCAGTGACTAAGGACCAGAGAACCTCTACAGGTCTGAAAACGCCCACTTTAAGTATCTTGCAAGACAGCCACTGGTACCTTACTTCTGCCACAGGCATATTACTTTATCAGTAGTACCAATGTATTTGCGTAACACATACAGGAAGATGCCATTCTTGCTCACCAAACAACGGTTTTCCAAACACTGAATGACAAAGCAACTCCTTAAAGCTAGCAAAGTAGGACATGCTGATAGGAAGGCATCTGCCACAGTAAGCATCGTGCACAGAAACGTATATGCTAAAAGTGTATCTGCTCTGTCATGCTAAGAAGGCTTAACTGCCACCAAAAGGTGACACATAATAGTGCTTCATTAGCTCAGGTCAGTAGGTTCTCCATTAAATTACAATTACTGTAACAATCCTGCCTGTGTCCCTCCTGATTGCCTGCAAGTGCTTTTTTCCCCTCCCTGCAGAGCCTGAATTGCCGAAGGTGTGTTAGCCCCAGAAGTGTGCAGAAAGAGAGGAGACTATAGCAAGAGAAATGACCAGGTAAAAATGTATAACCATAGATGTGTATATTTTGGTGAGGCAATTCCTTATCTTCAGCTTCCTCCACAATACCACCTCTAACCCTCTTAGCATGACATTTCTAGAATTCCATGTAATAATTCTCCTTCTCAACTACATAATTTCTGAATTCATCCCACTGCTCATGGTGAACTCTGCAATAATTTAACAGATCAATGTCTTTCACTGGAAAATATCCAACCTGTGATCTTTAACGGTTTGGAAACAAAGATTTCTGTCACCACCCCTACACCCCCCGCCGTGCCCGGGGTGCAATACCTGGTGCACACAAATATTGCATTTGTCACAAAACACCATCTCGTTGCCATCTTCTCCATCTGGAGACTGACAGACGTCACAGACAACATCTTCATCATATTCAATCCCAAGTCCTTCTTCTGTCTCTATAGCATGGTTCATGTTATCATAGCATCGTTGTTCGAACTCCTCTATGACCCTTTCCATCGTGTACTCGTCCAGCTCAGGCATCCCTGGAGAACAGGAGTTGTTACTTGAAGAACAGTCATAAGCAACCAGTGCCACACACCACTCCAGCTTCTTATTTACCAGCTGAGTAGATATAGCCAACCCCCCACATGAACATGACAGTCATGTCTATTCCAGCTTAAAAAAAAAAGGAGTCTTATAACTGTATAAAACTAAGAGAAGCAGAGCATCCAACCAGTCTTTCAAAATACTGAGAAAAACTTTCTTAAACTGATTTTGGCTTCCTGGTCTTGCTCTCATTTCTCCTCCTGGGACAGCACTGTCTTATGGCTTCTGCTTCAATTTTGCAAGCCAGATGTTGAGTCTTTGGTGAAGGATTTGAGAGTGTTTTGAACCAAAAGTGTTTGCAGCAGAGGGAGGATATTAATGCCAAAATCTGCTATGACACTTGTAGCAGACTTGTTGTTTTGAACAACAGTTGCTGGTTTTTTACAAGTTCCAACACAATACAGTGCAGCCCCAGCTGAGGTCTCCATCAGACCCTGCTACATCAATAAATTAGTTTGTTTTAAAAAGTGACACAAACAGTTGCAATAAATGCAAAATCTAATCTGGGATTTGGTCTTTTCAAACAGCATTCATCAGAAATTATTCATGAAACCACAGCTACAGGCTGGTTACATTGTAGTACTCTGTAATTCAAATCCATTAATTAAATTACTGTTGCAGCAAGAAAAACATTAAGGAGGAGCACAGTGCCTCCAGCTCACACTTGCTGTGACACTGAGCTGGCTGTCATACTGCGACGCTGGGACTACACTGACCTTTACCCCAAAAACCCCACCACACAAGCCCCTCTAACACCAAGAAAGCCACGCTACTGCAAACAACCATCCTCCTCCAGTCAGTTTAGCACAATTCCCATATATTTAAATCCCTACAATGAAGTGTAGGCTTAGGATATTCCATTTTTGGTCTGAGTCCCAGTAATTGTGACATGCAGGAGATGGGAACCTCAAGATGTGTTTTAACCAGAAAATCCTGCTTTTGGCTGTCCCTGTGAATAAGCACACCACAAATTCTGAAAGGTAGCAAGAGGACCAGTTTGCAACTAAATTTTAACCTCATGATTTCCATCACTTTGTAAAAAATCCTTAAAGATAATTCATTGACTGTGCATCTATACAGGTTTAAAAAAGGGAATTAAGGGGCTGTGGCTTCAGGTCAAATGTTTACATTCATTCTTTTAAAGAAAGAATGTACATTTTTGGTGCCTGGAGCACTCCAACAGCTATCAAAGAACACAGGGAATTCACACTGCAGGGACACCTCAAATGAAGTGCTACAACTACAGATCAGGAAATACTTCACGTTTCAAATGCCCATTAATAGTATCTGTGGAGTACAGTGTCCACTAGAGCACCCAGGTAAGTGTTTCAAGAACCACCACATACTGCATGGTACCAACAGGAGCATCTCCTTCCCTCTGCATACGGAAAAACTGAGTGGATAAAGATCTAGAGAAAATTAATAACAAGAAACTACACCAAACCACAACACTGAAGATCAGACCTGTCAGACAGCTGCCCAGTGTCTCACATGCAACGTGTACTTTTGAAGTTAAGGTTGATGTTGCAGAATGGCCAACACAGGGCTTCCTGCACAGGTACAAATGGCATGACAAAGGGCTCCAGCCCTTCTCGTGAGCTACTCACACCCCAGTGGAACCCTGTGGTAGCCCTCCTCTGGTTTTGGCAAAAAACATGCAGGCAAGAGAGGATTATCTACATAGGATAGAAGGGTATCAGTTACAAATCATAAAGTGTATTTTTAATTTTTCTTTGAAGAAAGCTAAGGGGCCTTGCTGCTGCTGTTTCCCAGAAGATAACTGGAAAGATAACCTGAACTCTTGAATCTTCAACTGTTTTGAAATCATCTAAGCTTGAGCAGGGGAGACTTGAGATCTGTAAAAAAGGCTTGGGTAAGAGTCCAGGTCAAGGCTGGGCCATCTGTTTCTTCCATATATAGATTTAGAAAGGAGAAACTTTTTTATTAAAGAGTTATAAATGGTCAGTTTGTGGTTTACCAGGTCTGGAGCCATGCCACATATGGACTACAGCCAGGTAAAATCCATATGACTAAGCTGGAACCCAAAGCAGGGAACTGCCACAATGCTAAAACAAAAGCCAACAGCATTCAGCAACATGTCCAAACCTCTTCCATCTGGCACACCATCTTTTTCCCTATCTAAACAAAGTGGTAGAAGTTCTGTGCTGACTTACAGCCTCTTCAATTCCACTGAAATCTTCTCCTGAAGCACACACCCTACTGAAGAAATGTTCCTGTTCTTGCCCTGCTTCCCTGCCCCTTCCCACACACGAGCCATCCTGTACAAAAGTGAACAAGTTGTTCCCCTTGCAGCAGCTCCTCTGCCTGATTCTGAACTGTGGCACAGGGTCACAGTAAGGTTTAGGAGGTTTCTCCAGTAAATCACTGTGGGAATTCCTTATTGCCTCATTCCCCGCACAATTCAGCTGGTGTAGATTCTCCCAACCTCCCAAGACTCCTTGTCTACCCTCAAGCTAAAAGGATGATACAGATACGTGACACAGAGAAAACTAAACAAATACATAAAAGGACTAACTGGAAGAAACACCTGAATGGTCTCTCTGATGTTCTCTTCAAGAACCATGATGGCCAAATGGGAACTTGGAGAGAATTCCCTTGCTGCAGAGAAAAATCTATGTGGCCAGTTTCTGACCTGGTCCAAGCAGATACAGCTCAGCAGTTACGAAGATTGCCAGCTTTGGGGGTAAAAAAGAAAAAGCAAGGGACCCACAAGCGCTCATTGCTCACCCATTTCTTTGAATTCTTCGTTGGCGAGCTGCAGCCAGGCCACGTCCACGTCGTTGAGGTCGTAGCGGCAGAGGCTGTCGGCCAGGGTGCGCACGTCGACGTAGCCCAGCTCGGGCGGCTCCGCGCCCGGAGACAGGATGTACTTCCTGGGGCGCGTGAACGTCGCCGCTCCCGCCTCCCACACAACCCTACAACAGACAGGCAGGCAGCTGTCAGCAGGGACTGGGCTCCACACAACTCAAAATGCCTCCTTCAAAGGCGCTAACAATCATCGGCAAGCATCTAACCATCCAAAGCAACCATCCTGCACCACCGAGACAGGAAGAGAAAACACCACAGTGCACTTTCATAAAAAATTGACAGCACTGTCAGACATCCACTGGAGTTGTCTAGAAACTCAATTCATTACTGGACTTCTAAATAAAATTAAAAGATTAGAAGATAGAGCTGTGCTTCCTCTTACCTGAAATTGACACGCATTCAAAGCTAGAGTAGGAACACTGCATTTATGGAGTGATGGCTGCCGCATACACAGATGTTGAACTCTGCTATAAGACTCTTTTTAAATCCATCTGTTTAACTACAACACCAAGATCAATAAAATAATAAAAAATAGTATCTCCTGCTACATTTGAAGTTTTCTTTCTTACAGTATGTTTCTTCTGAATTTTTTTTTTTTGTATCTGTGTAACTACGGGATTGTCATCTTTGTGAAACTGAGAAGACCTTTCCACACAGAATCAGTAGTTTTCACTAGCTTCCCCTTCACTTACCAAAGCAGATCCAAACTCTGGATCCTGGGTCTGCATTTCCTCTTTCACAGTCACTAATGTCATGCTGGGCCAAGCACAAATATTAATCAGCTGCTGCTGAAACTACCTTCTCTCAGGTTTTGAAGGCTCCAGCTGGCTAACAACCAACTATGAAAGCATGTTTTAGCTTCAAGCCAACTGAAATTTTGTTCGACCACAGGCACTGGTTCAGGAAACACTGAAGTACCTACAGCACATAACTCGTTCTAGGTCAGATTCCTGCAATGCCGCAACTCTGCAAAGCCAGAAGCGGAGGGCAAACCACCCCATTCAAAAAGGACACTTGACCTTCCACCAGCAAGCTGGTGACTTCCCTCCAAACAGCAAGGAACTCTGTCAGCCCACCTGCAGTGCAGTTTCCTCAGCAGAGGACAAAGCACCTTCTCTGAGTTAACTGTGCTCACTGAAATTCAGCTTGGATGAGACCCGCTTCACCAAGAAACGCTGGTACCTCCAGGGGCAGCCGGCCACACTGCCAAACAGCTGCTCCTCCTGCAGCAGTGCTGGGGATTTTCTGTGGTCTGCTGCCCCATGGGAGGAGATAGCACCACTCTGTCCACACACAGCTTTCTGATGGGAACAGCCTCAACTCCACAACAAGCAGGACATCCTCCTCCCTATTTTGCCTGTATCTGAAGTCCAACGTTTTAACTCCTCCTATCAGGAGATCCTGATCTGCTGCTTCTGTACCTGCACACATTGGTATCAGTAAGCCCTCTACTTATTTCAGTCTCCTGCACAGCCCTAAGCCTCCCCCTCGTCTAGCTTATTTCAGACAACGATCTGAGAAAAGGTGGACAAGAGCCAAATGCTGAATTTGAGGCTTCTGAGGTGCAGGAGGGGACTCTCAAAGAATACAGACTGGAACAAGCTTGCCAGGCTGACTGCACTGCCCAAACTGTTCCTGGTCATACTGCACAGTACTAAAATCATGCAGACTACTACATCTCACAGAGAATTTACTTTAAACTGGGCACTGCTCTCTGAATCCTCTGGACCATAAATTCCTTCCTGAGCACCTCTCAATGTGGAAATCATAACCTCCGGGGCACACCCTGCCCATGCTCTCGAAACACCACTGTAGTGGCACAGAAGAAATAAACACATATAGTTTGGCTTCAAAACAAAACATGTTCATCTCTGTCTTTGTGGCGGAAAGAAATCTGAAAAAGCAACACTTACTACATAAAAAAAAACCACATTCAACTGGATTATCCATCTGACCACGTGCTTAACCTGCATCAGCACACCAACTGGCTTCCTCCAGACCTCTGGACCTACTTCTGCTGCCCTGACCACTGGCTACGAGGCCAAACCCTTTTATTCTCCATTACATACCTCACTACCAGGAGCTATCTGTACTGTTATTTTTCTTCTGTTACACCAGCTACTATTTTACTATTGCCAGTTCAGTTTACAGAACATCTCCCTCCCCTCCCAAAGTTAGGCACAGAACAGTTCCAGCACTCCAACAGCACCACCACAGCAGGGGTCTCCAAGTGTCTTGTGAGGGGGCAAGCAGGGTAGTAACCAGGCATCAGAGGGCCAGATGCTCACCAGTAGGACCATACAAGACAGCTAAGCAACTGAAAAAAAACTGGTACCTCCTGTGCCAATACCTATAACTGTGGGTGCCTTCCTTCCCTAACTCTTTTAAATCTGGAGCAACATCTCTGTTGGCCACTGGCAGAGGAAAAGCTCTCTCCCAAGTGAATACCTGCATCCGATATAGCTACCAAACCACCTCCCTGAAAGATATGTGGTGGGGATCCCCTGGAAGGTCTCCCTCTGCTAAGGCCCACAAGTGTCCTGGCCCCCCTGCAGCCTTGGGAGGTGCTCGGGAGAGAAGCAGTGAGAAGACGACAATGTGAGCACATGTACAACATGTAGGGAGTGGGTGAGGTCAGCGTGGAGCCATGACCACTGCAGGGAATGGCACGTTCCCACGTTCTAAACTGCACAGCAGAGGTGACCATGCCGAATTCTCCTTGGAGTTCCAGGTCCAGTCCTCCAGGAGAAGGAAGGAAAGGGCATCGTACAGACCTAGTGGGGCTGCGCAGCGCTCGGCAGGTTGCTGCACCGAGCGCAAGGAGCGCCAACCATCTGTCCTGTGGTCCCCTGCCCCAAGGCTAGAGTGGCAGGTGCAGACCTAACAGAAGCAGTGCAGCATCACCCAGAATTATTTGCTGTTTATCAGAGTTTGGGCTGTTCTGGCCCCACTAGCACTGGTGGGTCATTTGGTAATGCCTTACGGGCCAGCCTGACATAACGAGATGCAGTATGACTAAATGGCAATATCCTTGTCCTTCTCACTTTCCCCAACTCCAATCCCAACTAAGCATAAAATAGATAGATGGGCTGCAGCACACTCCTGCCCTTAAAACTGTACTGTTTCATTTGAATCAGAAAACAGTATCCAAGTGTAACAAACAAGGTAAGGGGAATAAGGGTTTCTTGGGTAAGAGCTAGAAAACCTCATGTTAACGTATTTAGTTACATGCACATGTGGATGATTCTTAAACCAGCTGAAATGCTGTATAACAATTTCCTAAGATAGTAAATGAAGCAACAAAAAAAATAATGTGAAACCAAAACAAACACTGACTTCTCTAGCCCTTAAATCTGGCTTGTCTAACTGCTCCTTGTAAGGAACCTACAGCTTGGAACTAAGCACAAGAAGCATCAGACAAGGGCTCTCCCAGCTACGCTGAGTGAGGTCAAGTCTGGGCTTAAAAATAGAAGCTATTTTTAAAGGTTCTGCCATCACACTCCATCCTAATGCAACGCCAAAAATGCTTTCCTGACATTCATACTTCAGCACACAGGCAGAACACGCCTGACTCTTGACCTCTCCATCCATTCAAAAAGCTGAGGCAGGTTGCTCTTCCTCTCTGAGAACCAAGACCTTTCTAGCTAGACACTGTGGAATGAAGCTCGAGAAGCCAAGGCAATGTAGACAAAAGCTGCCAGCATAAATGTACGTGTATTTGTTTACAATCCTCCAAACTATACCTGGCTACTGGCTGTGGGATGGTCCCTGGGCTAACTGGCACCTGAACTCCCTTTTCCCACTCCTGCCTCCAGGGGTCTGCCAGCACATAGTATTCATCAGGGTTCAGCTGGAAGGAGTCATGTAACTTCATGGCAGTGATCAGGTCCGTTCTGAACACCTGCAAAGAGAGTGACCAAGAGAGAAAAATAGAGACACTGACATTCGATATTGACACGCTACGATTCACAGCTTCAGGGTAACCACGGAGCACAGTGTGTAACAAGGTCCCTGTGTCAGCAGTGAACTAACCCAGCCTGCTGCAGGACACAAGCTGAGCTTCACCATCGCAGGGAAAGGGTTGGCTGAAGGTGCAAATACTGACAGAACAACTTCCAGCTACCTCCACTACAAGTCCTGGCGCTCCCCCTGTGCCGAGACGTGATGCTAAAAGGTGCTACCTGCTTTTACCACCACCTTGGCTGCAATAAAAGCTACAAGAGCTCTGAGTCTTAGAACACCAGCACAAGGGAGACTCATTTTTGCTCCAAGTGTTTTTTAATTATTTGAGCTCTGACTAATCCAAAGATATTCTAGAAATTCCTTGTGGTAGAAAATCAAGGCGTGACTCTACCATGACCAGCCACCAGAGGAAGATCTAAGGAGATGACTCTTTGTGCAAGTATTTAAAACAATAACCCAAAAGATCAACTAAAGACCCAAACTGGAATTCTGGCGGCAGCTCCCTGTTCAGCACAGGTGCTTGTTATTCCACCAGCTACAGACACCTCTGCATCACAGCTGTAATTGTATTTTGCAGAGGCACCCACATGTGAAATGAGCAGGATGTTTGGCAGCTTCTGGGTTAGCAGCCGTAAACAAGCAGCGACGCGTCTTCAACAAGCCACAGAATGAAATAAAAAGGGATTTGCTCTCGTAGCAGGCACGCTGTGGTAGCTCCAGCCTGGCTGGCCACTGCCTGTCAGCACTGCAGAAACCAAAGGATGCTACCACAGGCATCAAAACCAGGAGCCTCTGTCCAGCTCTCCCCACCCTGCACTCTGTAAGGCAAGGCTGTAGACTACAGCAACTGCACTCAACACTCCTCATCTCCACAACCACAAATTTTTAACTACTCAGTGCCATGTTCAAAGGTAAAGGGTTAAAAAGCAACCAGGTGACAGAGAATAAGCACCACCAGGACAAGAAGAAGATAGGTAACATCTTAAGAAAAGTTTGTGGTGGGCAGATCCAAGATCCACCCAGCCCCACATAGCACAGCTCCACAGGACAGGACAGCTTATCAGGGCAGCACTCCTGGATTCTCTTACTGGGCTGCTAAGGGGCCAGATACACTACCTCCCAGTCCCAAACCAATGGCCACACTGGTCTATGTTAGCTCCAGCCAACTGCTGGATATGGCAGAGGAAGAACCAGGTCTATACAGAGTGCTCAGACAGGCCTCCCTGGGGCAGCAATTTCTGTCATACATGAGTCACACACCTGAAATCTCAGATTCCCTACAATTTCTGATAAGTATTTTAGGGCAACAGTGAAGCAAGTGGTTAATCATACTTCTGAGAATATTTCAAAGTGTGATTTGCCTTACCACGCTGCACATCTTGAAACCTCTCCTCCCCCCCAACACACACATACTACCCTGCCTCTGTCTCAGTATGTTTCCATTTCCACTCTGGTTTTGTCATAAAAATAGCGTAAAATCATGACATTTTTCTTAACACTTGTCTTGACATGTTCAGAAAAACTGCCAACATTTAAAAATAAAGAATAATATTACCATATGAAAGAAAGGGCGAATGCAGGTAATGAAATATCATGAAGTGTTTTAAACAATCCAATTACAAATCCTTTGAGGCTCCAATCAAGGAATGAAAAGTAAGCCACAAAGTAAACTGGCTCCCAGAACAAAGGCACGCAGCTGGCCAGGGGACTCCTCACTTCTAAGCCATTCGAATTGAAGTGATCAAATGTCAAATGAAAAGAAGACTAAAAATATAAAATGGGACACAAAACTTGCTCAATCTGAGAGCCAAAGTAACTCAGGCTCTCAGATAAATTTGTCACAAAACTCCCTCAGGAGCAAAGCTAATGCAGCACCTGACAGCCAAGAAAGTGCTTCCCAGGCCAGTGGCCCTGTGACACCATTCTTTCTGCTCTAATTTCTGATGCAACCAGAGTGCCCGGAGCAAAGCAGAGCTTACAGAAATGTTGGCTCTCAGAAGCACTGAACACTTCAAAGCTAAAGGGTGAAACCCTGGCCACGCTGAAGTCAATGGGAATACTGCCACCAACTTCAATGAGACCAGGATTTCACCCGGGGAGTTTAGCGAGTGTCACTTTACTGCCAGCACACTCCTCATCACAGGAGTGTGTGCCGTGGCAAGCAGAGACAATGCAAAGGGAGGGAGGGAGGGAGGACTGTGGAACAGAGCTAAAAGAGAAGTGTATGAGAAGTCCACTCAGGCTGCGAAAACAAGAGACAACAGCACAGAACTGCAGATATTCTGACAATAAATTAAAAGGAAGGGAGATGAGTAAACTGAAGTACGCAGAAAGATTCATAATTATCTCAGATTATTTCTTGATAGCCTTTCATGAGGTAGTTCTTAAAACTGAGAATTTTCTAAGGGGCTACTTCTACGGGATATACAAAAAATAACTAAGGACAGCAAGCTTATCACCAGCAAGAATAAATTCATATGGGATCTCCATAATTCAAAAAAAAGAAAAATAAAAAAAAAGTCTTTAATGGCCAACAATCAAAAAATATGACTGGAAACCACCAGTACTAGGTAGAGTTCATACAAAGAATGAACAATGAGTGGAATTCTTCTTGTGAAAATTATTCTCTGGGACTTGGGCATACTGTCCCTGGGGTGATTAATAAAGCATGTGTTCTTTTTTCTCAACATCAATCACTCACTAATGCATTAGAAATACATATATTGAGTAAGAATGTTAGAAATTCCATCTCCCAAAGCTAATCCTTTCTTTGCAGCCTCTACAAAGTTGGCAGTGTGGTGTTTGCCTGAAGATAGGGAGATTGAGCAAGAATATTGCCAAAGAACTGGATTGCATTTATGTGTTACTAACAGTTGATCCATCCTGGAAAGTTCAAAGATTTATATCTCTCTTGACAGAACTTCCTCAAAGCACTCTGCAAGACGGAACTGTCAGGAAGCAGATTTGTAGTTTGACAAGTGTTTTAACAGAGATCACGTACCAAAACACAATACCAGCTATGAAATAAATGCACCCGAGGTAAATCTTCACTGTTCACAAATCAAGCTACAAATAAACCCCGATGCCTAAAATACTAGAAGACTCCACAGCTATGCTGAATGGGTGTCAGACTACAGCAAAATTCAGACAGAAACTGGTGCTGGCAGTGGCTGTGCCAACAGCTGAACTCTCCGATCTCGTGGCCAATTTTTGGGGTGGGTGGGTGGGGATAGGTGCCAGATAAAATGTAGCAAACGGAAAAGAAAACGTAAATCAGAAGAAATGGGTCTGTTACCAGAACATCTATAAAGCTTTCTATGTGATAGATGTAACAAAATGAAAACCAAACTCCAGACGTACCTCAGAAGGTTTGCGATCTTCATGTCTGGAACACGAAGTTCTCCGATGTCGAGACCTGGAATGCTGGGACCAAGTGGACAGACCTAGGACACAGAAATGATCATTTGCAGACACTGCTGCCATCTATCACTAAAAGCATTTGCTCTCCCTGCACACCTAAGAAGGCCAATTGACTTCAGCATGACTATATGAGTAAGGGTATCCAGAGTCATGCTCCTATGACAAACTGCCAAAAGCCTTTTCAAATTGTACCTGAAAACATAAAGTTACTCAGTTGTAAACTTCTGTGATCACTTTTCTGGTGGTTTTGTAATTTTCTACTGATAACACTGCTTGTACTGGCACTTACCTGCCTTCCACTCAGCATTTGAAGAAAGCTGCCTCATAACATGCTTCCCCCTGAGCATCAATAAACTACTTTCTGCAGATTAATGACTGAGCAGGTCTGCTGACAGACGGAGACGTGCTCTTTGAAGCCCATGTACTGATATCCTAAATATCTGTATCAGTTACCCAATTTTTACCAGAGCAAGCCTTTTCCAAATTCAGCACACAGCCACACACACATAGTAGAGCTCCCAAAACAAGCTGTCATCTCTTCTCCTGAGCAAATCTCTCAGCATGCTTGTACAATTTTTGTCTGCATAATTATTCATTACATTCCAAACAAATTACACCTTTTTGCCTTGAAACCTTTTGACAGAGCCTCTGTCAGCTTTCAGAAACATGGTAACAGGAGAAAAGAAGAGAAAGAAGCTACACTCCACTGACAAAGCAGTGCTTTGACACCAGAGTACATTATACCTGTGCAAATCAACCGACTTTAGTTCAGTAAGACTTACAGGTACCGTATTTTCCACTGCCAGCTACACAGCAGCCATAGAAAAAAAGAAAAAGCCAATAAATTCTTATAGGTTGGAGAGATTAAGGACTCGTAATAAGGTCTACATGATAGGGGAGCTAGGACCTACATGTTGAACTCTGAAGGATGAACACAGATTTTGCAACTTTGGACACCAGAAGCGATGCAAAGGCCTCCCCACACTGCTCAGGTCTTCACTGCCTGTCCACGTGGATGCCAGGAGTAAAAAGAGTAAGGCTACAGTCTGTAAGAGCAACTTCACCTCACATCAGCCAGCAGAAACGTCTTGGGGAACAGAAAGCACTGTTCAAAACCAGACTGCATAGCATGGGCTAAGTTCTCTATTAAAACCAGAAATAGTTTTTGAAGTGAAGTGACTTTCCAAAACTTTCACTGGAAGATACAACTGAGCAACAAGTCATAAGAAGAATTAATTATGTTGTAGTTATGCTTCTGTCTTCTCTTTTCACTTAGCAATACATGTTCCAGTAAAAACCACTGTGTTTCACAGCAAGGAAAAAGGATGTTATGCAGAATGGCCAAAATTAAATGGTCAAAATCACTCAAAAAGTGTCAGATGCAGAGCAAAAATTCTCAACAGAAGAACATATTTTTACTGCAATTATAATTATTAACATTTTAACATGCAGACAGATGTGATTTCTTTAATCAAGACTCACTAGCAGACAAAGACCACAGACATACCCACACAGATCAGTGTTCAGTTCTGGAGGGTTCAGGTATTTTCCATTAGGAAGACATTAATATCTGACCAACCACCTGCCACTGAGGTATTCAGATAGTCAGGCCCTTCCTCCAGCAGCTCAGGCACACTGAAATTTTGAATCTATTGTGTGCCCGAGTGTTCTGTACACTGCTGGACTTGGAGGAGGGAGCCTGCACACAAGGTAAGGAATTAAGAACAAGAAGCATGGGCAAAGTGGTGTTTGATTCTGAAGTTTTTGTGGGAGAAGGACTAGTGGGTCTGGAGGCTGTAACACAGCTGCTCGCAAGTCATGTGTGCGTCTGGCAAGATTGGAGCAGAGTGGTACCAGGTATTACTGCATCTTTACCCATGTGCTCTCATTCAGCCAGGCTAACAACTTACCATAAACAGAAGTAAGCAAACATATGGGTTTATTTCTTTTAATGTGGGTATTAAAAGATGGATTTTCAGGTCTTTCTCATGACACGGAGAAGCTGCAAAGGTTATTAGTAAAATAATCCCTTGCCATGCCTTCCACCTCCGTTTCGTTACTGTGTCATCTGCAGATGCTACACATGGTAACAGTCTCTTAAAGGTGTATTTCTGATTTTAGACTCAGTCCACAAACCAAAGGGTTAGGCCACTGGATTAATTAATTATTCCACACAGTATGAAAGGTCATGTTTTTAGGGCCAAAACTACAAAATCTTCATTTTAAGCTACTTTTTTAAGAGCTGTAGGAAAGCACACTACATAAATTTCCATGCATAAGGAACACCTCAAACACATCCAGCCTTCCTCAGAATATGTTACAGTCAGTATTTTTTCCATGCTAACTGACATCCTACAACAAATAAGGGAATAGTTTCCTATACAGTTCTGTAATAGCTGTTTTCTTGCACCCAATAGTGGTGAATGCATAGTGGAAATACATAATGGTTTTAGTAAGTTACTGAACAGACTATTGTGTTTTTTTTGAGCAGTGTAAACTGACTGTATAATACTGTGAGAAAAAGTGGAAGAATTTCTCATGAGACTGAGTTTTTACTACCCGCTAAGATCTGTAACTGTAGCTCACAGATGACCTTTGGCAAGGGCTTCACTTCAACAGGGAAAATACTGAATAAACAAAACCCAACTGTAAGGCCTGCCTGCATTCACAGGTTCAAACAACCACCACCACGTAAGACACAAAAGGGCAAGAAATTGAAGGAGCCAGTCAAATGACAGTAAAATATCTAGCCCTTAAGAGTGTTAAATTTAACTACTTTTGATATCTCAAATTTAAGAGTTTCAACTCTGCTTCCATTAAAGTTAATGGCAGAGTATCACTGCTTTCAACGGGGCCAAGACCAGGTCACTGAACTACCCAAAGCTGCTTTTGTTAATAAGCAATCCACCCACGCTGACCATGTCAATAGAAGTGCAGGAGGGAAATTAAGGATTTAATTTGTCTTTTAAGCATCTTTTCCATATTTTCATACCTAATCCAGAAGAAGGACCTCACTGAAAGAAAAAGCTGACAGGCAATTTCAGCTCTTGCAGTGATTAATGGTCTGATTTTTACATCTAAATATATGGAGTGAGAACCATTCCTGGATTAAACAGAAGGAATAATCTCCTGCAGTCAAAACAAACACAAGATTCAGAACAGCTCCTCTGTATTATAAAAGCACATGAACCTGACTTAGACAGATTCCAGACACTTTTTCACTATAATTATCCTCTTGCATCAAGTATCCAAAATTACTGTATTAATCAACAGTCTTCTGAATACTAGGCTTATCCCCAAACTGGATTAAGATCACCAAGATCAGAAAAACAACTAAAGATCAGGATAGAGGTAAACCCAGTTTTGGTAAAATAACAAAAACCAAACAAACAAACACAAAAAAAAAAAAAGCACATAAAGGAAGCCCGAATCACTAGGATTTGGAGGAGGATCACACTCTTGCTATACGTCTCAGTTTTCCCTTTGCATTTATCCACTCACAGACAAAAAGCAAAAAGTAATTCCAAACCACTAAGCAGATGTAATTCACAGCAAGAGAGGCAAAGCTCTAACACACTACTGGTGCTGGACAGGCAACTTCTAAGACCTGGGTAGGAAAACTTTCTGTTCCTCTAAGCTACTATATACACCTTAGGCTGTAAATGCAGTGGTTTTCTAATACTCCTAGAGGGTGTAAGTAATACATACACCTCCTGATACTAAAAGAAAGCACAGTTCTTGAGAAGTGTGAACTTTTTCTCTGTATTTGCAAGGAACACAAACTTCCAAAAAGGAAAAACATAATCAATTTTAAGTGTATCAGTCTATTAAATGAGCTGTCTATATGTTTTGATTCAAAAAAAAGGCCATCAAAACACAGACCTCCTCAGCACCAATAAAGCAATTCAAGCCCTTGGGGAGTTCTATCCCACAACTAGCACACTACTCAGCATGAGCAGAAAAGGCTCAGCTATTCCCTATCACGTGCAAGGCTGCTGTAAAGCCACCAGCAGAGCACCCAGCTGTGTTCCTGGAGAACTACCTGCTGCTACAGCCTCGAAACACTCCAGAGCCTCAGATCTCTGGGCGTCTGCGAGCGCTTCTCCCACGTCAATAGGCTGCTGCTGCACTATCCCCCCAGGCAGCACACCAGAGCAGAGCAGCCCCGACAGGGACACACCTCTGGCTGTCACTTCTGCTTAACGCCACCACTGCCAGATGCCTACACTGCTCCTCAGCTCACTCTGAGACCAGCGAGGTGCTGCTGCCAACACTCTGTCAGAAAGATCTGCAGCCTGAAGAGAAAACGTAGATGCTCAGTCTCCTCATTTAGTGCCTTGCCCACAACTCCTTACACTATAGCTTCATATCACTTAGACATAACTCCATGTCTAGACCCAAATTCCAGCACAAAGAAAACAGAAGGAAACTATTCTAGAGGATGATTTTCAATTGTGTCAGGTACAGAAAGCTGCCTGTGCACAAGTCTTCAGGCCTTATCGCAGAGCAAGCGGCACGGATGCAAACACAACCTACACCACTGTTACAGACAGCCAAGTCCCCTTCACACATTCCTGTTTCTGGAAGATTTGCCTATCTATCTTCCTTATCTATATATAATAGCATATTATTATAGAATCATCTCATCCAAGATCAAACTAGAAAAAGCAATGGCATCTTATCTCATCAACAACCATCCTACTCAAAATTTAGTGTCATTTGACAACCACCCAGTTGCAGCTGCTGAACAAAGCATGGATCCATATGATCCCTGAAGTGCTTCACAAGAAGGTTGCACAATTGCTCAGTAACTGACACACATAATGAACAGTCTTTACAGCTCCCTGCCACAGCAGTCAATACAAGTTCCTTTCTATGATCCCTTTTCTCAGAAGCACACATTTGAGTTTTATAATCCCAAAGAACACCCGTAGAATCACGCTTAGGCACATATCATTCTGATAATAATGAGGAATTCCTGAGGAATTACCCCACCTTGTTTTTTTGACAAGACCAAGTGTCA